CTGAGATTTCTTGTTTAGAGATTTCATCCCACGTTTGGGGACGCTTATTTCAGGTTCAGGTAACTTGGGGGCTGATGCCTCTGGAGGTAGGAGGCCGGAGCTTAGTTGATGATATTACTGTTTATATGCTGACATGGTTGGATGCTGGATATATCTGCTGTTGTTATGTTTTTAGCTTGCTATCATTATGTTGCTATCGTTGAGACTTCTGTTGGGCTTGTGCCTTATTTGGGTGAGCATTGGGATTGTCCATGCCACTTTGATTTCTATTATGTTTAAGTTTAACTGAGTTGTATAAACTATCAGGGATGTCCGGTCTACGTGTTGTAGTTCCGTGACTAGAGACATATTTATGTTATTTAATTGATGAGGTATTTCAGTTAGTTGTCTTTTGCAATTTACATACAAGCTTTGAAAATGATTAAGTAATCAAGTTGGTAATGATTAATGACGTCATAATTGAAAAGAAAAAGATATTCCGTATTTTTAATTAAGCGCAGCTTAATACGATGATATGATAACATTACCGGATATATACGGGGTGTTACAGGAACCCTCATCCTCATCCACATGCATATGATCATGGAAGGACACAATACTGGACCAAGAAGACTGAGTCATCAATGGTAGCATGCTTTCGACCATCATAATCACAAGGGGTACGTCACGCTCCTGACGTAAAACAAGCGCTAATTGGGAGGCAACCTAATAAGTTTTTCAACTTGTTTTTATTAATTTTATATTATTTTTATTCGGTTGATTAATTTTATTTTTATTTGTTTTATTCTTTTTTTTTAAAAAAAAATATTTTTTTATTTTCTTCTCTTTTTCATTTTCTTTATTTTTTATTATTTTTTATTTTAATGTTTTTATTTTTTATTTTTTTTAAAAAAAAATTTAGTACTGTATGCAGATATATACTCTTATTTTGATAATTCTTGTAGGTGTGTGTTCTTAGTTCGCAGAAATTTTGGTTTAGTATTATTGCCGGGGACAACAATATTTTAAATCTGGGGATTGGATGCATATTATGCTTGAACTGAGGAATACACACAAAGGAATATATATGCTTAGCAGTTATTTTCAAATTCAGGGGAGATATCTCAAACCTTTTGAATTTTTTAATTTTTTTAATTTTTTTATTTTTTTAGTTTTCTGTTTTTTGTTCTACTGGTACTGGTGTCTCTGATTTTTGTCCAAGATAGTATGAGCTGAATTGGTTAATAAATCTGAATAAACTATAGGAGGCACAAGTGAAACTGTGAGAATTCATAATAAATTTTCTATCATGACATTGCATTGAACATTATCTAGAGAATATGACTGCACGTTTTTGTGATTTTCTTTATGAGAATTTTTAGATAAAGCTTTGATGTGAAAATTAGGAATTAGATTCTAGCTTGATGCCACAGCTTGTGAGGTTTGAGCCTAAACAGTTAATTTTTTTTTAGAGGCCTCATTGTAGTGGTACTCTAGAACTTGATCTGTTTCTCTGTGATTTATGCATGAGTTGAAATGATAAAGACATTTCTGTTCTATTAATACTTGGCCAAATAGTCCACCTGAAAAAAAAATTCCATTGCTAGCCCCTTTGAGCCTTAGACTGATTATTTGTTCAATTTCTCATAAATTACTTAGCTTATATTCCTGTAGACTCATCCTTAAATTAGATTGAAATACTGATGATCAAAGAAAATTTAAGGTGAAGTGCTCCATTGAAAGTTAAGTGAAAAAAAGGAAAATAGTACCTCAAATGAAAAAGAAATCTGTCTGAGAAGAGGGTGTGCAAAGGAAAAGAAAGAAATTGTGAAAGAAAAATTCTGCTATAAATTATTAGCAAGTAGGAAGAAAAAGGTGGTGGAAAAAGGAATAAAAATCTTGAATTAAAAGGAAGAAATAATGAAATATTGTTTGAGAGTTGACTGAACCTTGAATTAAATTAAATGTGTTTCAATCTCATCAACGTATGAACCAATATAAACCTTTATTTTTACAATAATAAAATCCCTTACTTGAGAAAAATTGTTGCATTGTCGAGGATGATATATTATGTGCACCTATGAGTTAAACATTAAATAGTAGTTGATTTCTTGACTATCTGATAACAAATGAGAAAGTATAAACGAAAGCAATAAGCAATTACAAATTGACAATGACACATCCCATGTTTTGTAATTATCAGTCACACTGCAATTCATAACTAATTAATCCATAGAATCAGGTCCCCAAACACTACAAATTGACATAGACAACGCCAAAGCTTTGATGCTGGAGTTTAAGGGCAAGAAAATCTTAAGAGCTGATTTTCGATCATGCACATTTTGATTTGAAATTCAAGGAACCCTAACCATTGACAGCAAAATCAATTTCAAAAATCGAGTTGTAAAGAAATCGATATACCAAAGAGTGAGGGTGGACATAGTGAAACAGAGAGAAAATGGAGAAGAAAGATTTAGAGAGAGAAGAGAGGATTGAATGGATGTGAGCAAAGAATAGATAGAAAATTGAGGGATAAAGTTTTAAAGAGAGAGACAAGAGAGGTTTGAATAAATATGATTGTAAAAAGGAATGGACAATGAAGAAAACGTTTTAGAGAGAAAGGGAAGACATGTGATAAGATATTAGGACAGTGTGGTGTTCCCCGAAAATGCCACAATGTACATAATTATTGGGGTTTTATTAACCTCCAGAAAATGTCATCCACAAATGACACATTTTTTTAGTGTCTATTAACCATAGTACCCTTCCCATAATGAGCCTACGAGTTGAGCCAACATTATTACCCACACTAGTCAACATTACAGATATCCAAGCCCAAACCAATTGATCACTTAATTAAATGAGCTTTATACTGCACCCCATATAAATCACTACTTAGCCCATTTTATTAAAAGAAAAAAACTACAATTGATTGAAACCCATATTAATTATATAAAAAATTCAAACATTCTCCCACTTTGGTAAAATCAATTGTAAAATTTGAATTAAAAAAAAGTTATTAGAAAACGATAAGCTACGAACTAATTTTTATAACGAGGCCAAATTTTAAGAAAACACATTATCTAAGGTACGATATATGAATATCACTCAATCCAACTAAAGCCAAACAACAATGAATCAGGCGGTGATTACATCATTTATTGATATAAGACCTTCCATGGTCACAAATGTTATTTGATTCCACCAACTAGTCATTAGTGTGGAGTGCAGCAAGAAAATAGCATGTCAAGGTGATCAAACAATAGCCAAACTGCTATTTTCTTTGTCCTCAACTTTCTCTCAAATGCCTTAAAGCTAGAGAAATTTCATGGTTTATAAAAAAATTATCATACAATCAAATATAATGTCAACCACGGGCCGAGTAATTCAATCAACACCAAGTTTCATGGCATCATTATGTCTCGAACTCCAATATAGTGACAACCACAGACATGATGGTTCCAATGACATTAAGTTCCAAAATTTTGCAATTGATATGTAGAAGCATATATACGCGAACACATAAAAGCAAAAACAATGCATTATCAATTGCTCTAATGATCAAGTGTCCTAAATAAATAAATTTTTTATATTCAAACTCCCAAGTACATCAAAGCAACTCACAACGCCAATGTTTTTCACTTGCATTTAAAAAATAAAACCATGGGCCTAAGTCCTTCAATTAGAAAGTCAGTTAGTATGCTCAATAACTGAGTCATCCACAAAATAAATAAAATTCATAATCAATTAATAACCTAAGAATTTGATATTATTTTTCCATCACCAAAATAAAAATAAATAAAATCTAAGTTTTTCCAAAAATGATATAAAATTCAAAATCCTTCTTAAAGAGGCTTTAAAGAAAGTTCACTTAAAAATAAACATCTTGACCTCAAAAAATTAAGCAAATATCTCTCATTGACTCCACAATAACTTCAAGATCGCACAAAATCAATTATTCTCTCCCTCTTAAAAAAAATGTCGAGTATGTTCTCTACGTTAACTATTTAAGGGCGCAATGCCCTATCAAGATCAAAATGCATAAGGAAAAATCTAAATATCACATCCATTCATTATAATTCAATCCAATCAACAATTCTATTATGGTATTGTTATCATTCATATCAAAAGTATATTCATTATATTAAAGCAATTATATTAATTATGGGCAATAAATAATTTTAATGAAATAGTTAATACAGTATAAACTCTCCTTTTGGAAGAGTAACTAATATACAATTATTTCATATTATTTAAAATTTTATCTCAATGTAAATTTCAAAAAATGCGGGTACAATAACCCGCTTTGGGCAGGTGACCACAAACAATAATTATTTATATTTTTTGGTTATCTCAAACAATAATTTTTATCAATAAAGAACTCCGACAATTCACAAATAATGTTCTGAATAATCATGCCCAAATAATATGAAAAACCTTATAACGTGTTTTCAAAATTCTTATTGTATTTACTAAACTACAATTTATCCCACAAATTTCAATCCTCGATATCAACAACTACGTACCTTAGCTAACTAATCAAACTTAATTGATAGAGTACCTAAAATCTAAACTAAATTAGGTAGTAAGTACTAACATTATAATTACCATAATCTATAATAATTTTTTCATTAATTATAATTTGACATGAACATATATATTTATGTGTCAAGAAATTAAAATAAGTATTTTAAGAACGCTGAACATGAAATTAGCAAAACACACTTACAAATTGATTCAAAGAAAAAAAATAGAATAATACAATAGGAATGCATCTGAACAAACTACAGGGCAAGAAATAATTTCAATTAAAGCAAGATATCATAATGAGATAAACATAATAGTGCATTCCTCTTTAGGTAAAATGCACTAACCAAGATTGTAACCAAGGTCAAAACCTTGAATGGGTTAATCAATGAGTACAACAGGTTGCCATATAAAAGTCAACATAATAATATATTCCCGTCAGGTAGAATACACAAACCAAAGTCTAAACCAATATCACTTAACTAATTGGGCTTTATACTACATCCCCATATATATAATGACTTAGCTCAAATTTTATTAAAACAAGAAAAATACAGTTGATTTTAACCCACAGTAATTACAAAAAATTATAATAGTATAAACTAAACTACCATTCAAGGCAATTCCATCAGTTTGTGATATTCAGCTAGAGCCCACATTGGAAAAATATTTCGATACATTGCAAAATGGATAAGGCAATTCCTCAAGAATACGCCTGTGCATTCCTGCCATAAATTTATTAAAGAAATAATTAATAACTAACAAGTATCTTATGTATTGTATGGATATTTGTTATTTCGGATAAAAATAAAACTAAGAATTTAAAAAATATTTAAAAGAAAAAATTAAAATTAAATATGAGATATATATAATCAATTCATGTAAAACTTTAAAAATATAGATCAAAAGAGAAGAAATATGTAAATTATAATTTTTTTGAATATGCATAATTAATTCAAAGAATTTGAATTTACTTCTTTTAAAAAAAATTAAGAATAACTTATGTATACTAAAAGATTTAACTATCCTTAAAAAGAATTGCAGTGGGTACAATAACCCCCTTTGGGCAGGTAACCGCAAACATTAATTTTTATCAATAAAGAACTCCGACAATTCACAAATAATGTTCCGAATAATCATGCCCAGATAATATGAAAAACCTTATAACTTGTTTTCAAAATTCTTATTGTATTTACTAAACTACAATTTATCCCACAAATTTCAATCATCAATATCAACAACTACGTACCTTAGCTAACTAATCAAACTTAATTGATAGAGTACCTAAAATCTCTCGATTTTGGTTTCTTCTTCCCGTGGGTTGCTTTTTTGCTACCTCTTGCCCTATTTGAAGGTCAAATTCTCTCTCTCTAAATATCAATTTATGCAAGATGTGTTGTTGAGCTTTGCTTAATTAGTATTTTTCCTTTTTTTTATATCTTAAACCTTTTCTAACTTCGGCTTTTGCACAATTTTTTTTCCAATTTATAATTACAAGGCTCTCTTAGTTTGTGTTATGGACCAAGACTTTAACGAGGACCCTATTTGAGAATCATGACAATGTGTTGTGTTGTCTTTGGTATTTGTTTCGTTCAAAGCTATTTACAACTTTACATCTTTAGCCATCAAAGTGGGTATGTTGGAGCCTCCGAAATAGCTTTGTTCGTGTGTTCTTGTCCGTTGGCAGAGAAAAACAAAAGCTTTTTAATGTTATGTGATACTATTTAGTAAATAATAATATAGATCAGTATGCTAGAATTCATAACAAATTTTTCCCTAATAAATTTATGTAATTATGATAAATATTTTGATATGTAAATTTTTTTGGCTTGAGCTAAAATTGGAGCCAAGCTCCGCCACTAATGAAGACATACGTAAAAAAAAGTACATCGGGTGGAGCTGTAAGTGGTAAAATATGTCATGACTCATAAGTTGATTCGTAATACGTTATGCCAAAGTACATGTCTTGTCGACTCGTGGGATAAAACAAAAAAAGATCATGTCTAGGTTTGGGAAAATAATACAAATTATTATTGTGTCGTATCTCGGGTTAACTCGTGTGACCTGTATATCAACCACTTATTTTTTTTTTCAAAAAAATACAAAATAAAAGTTGAAATTTTTGTAATTTTGACACTACCAATTGTGAGTCACAGATCAACTTGCGTATTTTATTCAACATTTCTCGTTATTTTTAATTTTTTTTATAAAAAAATCCAATCTAAATTTTTCTGTCTCAACCTATGTGACCCGCGACTAGTCATGTCAAAGTTTCATTTTTTGACACGCTATTGACAACGTGTCGTGTTTGGGTTGAGCAATTTCACCTTCATGCCAACACTTGACATGACATGAACTTGATCCATCGACACGTTTTACCACCTATTATGCTCATATAATGCTTGATCAGTAGTTATGAATAACATCACCTACTATGTTGTTACAAGAGTTCTTCCTATATTTTCTTTTATTTTTTTTAAAGAGATAAAATTGTTTGAATTGGATCAACAGATATAAAATATAAAAATATTAAAATGATATAGAAGAAGTAAACTTGTAGAAAGTAGACTTAAATATAATAAAGTTGGTTTTATATTTTTATAGATCTTAAAATTATTTTGATGTCTATTTAAATATCAATATATAAGATAAGAATATTTGAATTTAAAAATTGGATAAAAAATATATTTAAAATTGATAAAAAGAATTTATTTTCTTACCAATTTGGAAATTTAAAATAAATTTGATGTTTATTTAAAAATTATTAAATACTAAATAAATAAGATAAGAGAAATAAAAATAGGGTTTACAAATTAGATACAAAGTAAATTTAAACAAAAAATGCTTATTTTATTTTTTAGTCAATCTCAAATATATTTGATATCTATTTAAATATCAATATGAATATTATTAAATAAAATTAAATTTATTTTGTAATCAATCCAAGGATTGATTTGAGTGTTTATATTCATATTATATTATATTGTGATTTATGTAATGTGATACATATGTTATGAATATTTTCATTGAATTATATAATTTTTTATTTTAAATTTAAATTTTAAAGTTTATGTAATTTTACTCATCACAAATAATCCTTGCTCCGCCATTAAATGACATCAAAGGGTAGACTGATACCTGTTGTGGCCAATCACCATCTTTCAGTTGAGAATTGATGAGCAACTGTGCTGCATGATGAAGAGGAGTTGGGTCTCTCTTATCCTGCATAGAAATTAGAAAAAAGAAAAAAAATTATTTAACATTTTTTTTTTTGAATTATGATTTGAAGAAAATGAATTAGATCGATCGCAGAGGCAAAAAGTGAATTGCAATTTGCAAGAAATAAAAAGTAGACCTGTCCAGAATGAATGAGAGCCATCAGAGCCCATGCAGTTTGTACAATATTGGTACGATTTCCTTCAAGGGGTACGTATATCTACATCATCCAATTCATCAAGCCATATTCATAAAGGGTAGTTAATTTAAAAATCATTCAATAAATCTATCTATCTACCTTTTTTGGGCATGATAGATGGCTCTCCCCCCACCCACCATCCTCTCTCTGTGTTGCGAGAAGAAACTCGACTGCTTTTCGAATTGCAGTGCAATTGGAGTAAGTCTTGCCACATGCTGCAAGCCCAGCAACAGCAAAGTATGTGCCATAACTGAAGCAAACTCCCCATTTACCATACCATGAACCATCAGTTGTTTGGGTATCCTCAATGAATCGAACTGCATTAATAATGGAATTCTCTATTTCTTTCTTCTTATGCTCTGGATATAGTTTCTTAAACAAAACCAGAGCCTCAATTACCGATGTAGTACATTCAACATATTCATGCTCAACTACCACGTCCTCAAAAAATTCTGTGGGATTGAGCAGCTGAAATGGTTGACATCACAGATTAATTAATTAATAGCTAGTTACCGTTCTTGAAATAAATAAACAAATTTCATTCTTATTAGTTGAGATTAATGACTAAGATTAAAATTGGAGTATATATATATATATATATATATATATATATATATATAGTACGTTATTGCAATATGTTTGTGTGTGTGCATGGATTCTTGAGGTTTATGTCTTACATAGTGAACTAAATCACAATGTGAAGTATGGATTTGTTTCCCAAATTGGTAAAGTGTATGGATATGAAGAAGATAAAAGAGGCAGCGATATAGACCAAAACTCTAAGATATCTCTGTTTAGCCTCAAATATGTTGAGGGTGCACAAGGGAGATGGTGTGTAAGGGCTACGATTTATGACTGTGGAGAAAGTTCAGCACAACAATGGCAACAGATCGAGAAGATGAAGAATAGGAGAGTTAAGACCTCTTTATATACGAAATTAGAGATGCCTTCTCAATGCGCAAGCCGTTATGTAATAATTGTTTCCAACCCTGTAGACCCCACTAGGTGTGAGGCAACATGACCCATGATGTTTAAAGGGTCATGTGTGCAAGGGAAATATGAGGGGGAGGAGCCACGTGTTCCATGTACTAAATGATGGTGGGCCTTCTTGGCAGATTAGGATTTGGCTGGATAGGTCCATCCGCGGACCAGAACAGAAGCCCCCTAGTTTGGTGGTTTACTAAGTCAAAGTGCCAAGGTGTTAGGAGTTTGTTCCAATCATCGGATCATCACATTGGTATTTGGAGGATATAATTCTTTCCTTTAGTTACTTCAGTCAGATTGAATAACTTGTCTTCGAAGCTCCCCAACTTGGTTTTTCGAGAAAGTCCCTTCATTTTTTTGCTCCAATTATAGGCTATTACATCATGGCCACATGGCATTGTGTGATTGATTCATACTTCATCATCGACAATGTTGCAATGATAAGTTGTGTGCAACAGTTATATTAGCTTTTTGGCCTACTGTGAAAAGTCTTCTTTGCCCCTATGTATTTTTACAATTTTATCCTCCTTTTTGGCAGATCCAGCTCTAATTCCATCTTGGATTTTGGGTCTTTTTCTCTTCTTATGCCCATTGAGCTTCAAAGCGTGAGTTGGTCAATCATCAACCACTTCAGTTATTTTAAAGTTAAAACCTTTATGTCTTTCTTCTTCCTTTCACAATTCTCTTCTCTCTTATATCCTTCAATCTGCACGGGTTCTTGAGGTACGGAGCTTTCGCCTTTTTGTACTTTGCTTTTCTTGGCTTAATGTTGCTGCTTTTCCTCCTTATTCTTTTCATGGTGGCTTATTGTTTTCCTCTAGTGTTATTTGGCCTCTGCGTCTAAGTCTGCAACTTCAATTGATCTAAGTTTCAAACTTTATCTCTAGGTGTCGCTTTTGTCCAATATTTTTTTTTCTTTCGCTACTATTTTCTCTTTTTTATTTGGTTTAAGATTGGTAGTCCTCCGAAAAGGTTTTATCTTTTTGGGTTGTTGTTTGTCTTTATTGTGTCATCTGAGAGTATGAGTGAAAGAGGTAGGCTTCTAGGCATATTTGTTCAACGTATTATCACGATGAATCTCACCATTACAACCCACTGAGATACAGGCATCAAGGGGGTTTTAGGAGACACTTCCATCAGTCTACTCACCATAGTGATTCAGGAACAAATAGGAGATATTTTGAAATGCCCATTGAGATATAAGGGATTTTCTTCAATGGGTATTATGGGTTATCCTCCCTTCTTTGAATCCACCTCCAATCAGCACTTCTTATGGGGTGTCTAGGGGGATTTTGGCTGAGGGGGATCAGAGGTTAGATTTACTTTGGCCGAATATAGCTGTAGATATCAGACTTTTCGAGTGAGCCCGACTGGTTGGTTTTCTAGTGACTTTGATTCTTCTTCTTTTTCTTCTATTTGTACATCAGGATTTGTGATATGGCTCCCTGAAGACCCCCTTCCCCAAACCTTCTTGATTAGATGGCCAAGTTCAATGCACATCCAACTGACAGACTCCACCTGACAAAACGCATCGGGGTGAAGAACATGCCCCTAGGGTCTCCCTATGTTCTTTTGCCTCTCAGCCCTAAAGGAATCTGCTACTCATTTGGTCATCAACCCTTCAACTACCAAAGTAGTCATACTCTGCCATGCAGAGGTGATTCCCCCTTCAACAATGAAATCCTAGTTAAGAGGATGCTCGAAGATGAAAGGATACCTTTGTATCTTACATCTAGTGTGGAGGCTGACAAGGATTGGTTTGTTAGCCCTACTGGAAAAGAAGATCGTATCTGCAACGGTCATGATCCAACCAGTAGCCGGTCACACTTCCTTTATATATATATATATATATATGCTTTTTTGTTGATTGCGGAGTTAAGTTGTCATTCACAGCTTTTGAGGAAAACGTCTTTAGCTGGCTATCAGTATCCCCGTCCCAAATACACCTAAGTGCTTGGGCATTCATGCATATGTTTGAGTTAATGACGGAGCTTTTGAAAAACAATCCTACTACATCACTATTTATGCACCTCTATGTTGTGTCTCCTAATAAGAGAAAAATCTAGGCGGTCAAAAGGGACTTGCACTTTTTTGGCTTTTATTCCAATTTTTACAAAAATCTTAAAGAAGAATATTTCAAAATATTTCCCGCCAAATGGGTTGCCATTCCCTTTTTTATGGAGAAGCGGTGAATCTCTATTCCCCCTTTACTAGATTGCCCAACATTAAAATGAGGAAGACAAATTTTACTATGTCCCTAAGGGTAAGTTACTATTCGGGAGCGCATCGCGCTAGCCAATAAAATACTTGAGATATTACGTGCGTTTAATTGTTTCTTTGGCTTTCTAATTGTACCTTTAGTGTTTTGTATTTGTATTTATTATATGTGATTGATTTGCGCATTACTCTATAGGGGAAAGATGGACGTATTCATACTTGCCATCTTGGCGAATGCTGGAAGAAGCAGAAACTCCCTGCACTCAAATTAAGGAAGTTGTCGCCTCAAAGGCATGGTGAGGGAAGATCTTCCTCCTGCCAGTGGTGAAGGAGAGAAAACTATCGCCAGATTAGGCATGAAAGATATTGGACGAGATCGTCGATTGGAAATGATTCCCACTCTTGGATTTACTCTTGTGGAGGATGACGCATCCATGGGGGATGATGTTCTGGTCGTCGAAGAGACTCTTCGTCTAGCTCTAAAGAAGAAGAGTTCTACTTTTACCCGAGCGGATGAGAGTTCGATGAAAATCAAGCGAAAGACGGTCGCTAGGAGCTTTTTGAAATTGGTAATGAGTAACGAAAAGCGAAATTATGACCATTCCTTGGAGCACAAACATCAGTTTCCCAAGAGTGGCTTCGCGTTCAAAGTGTGGATGGTACATATTAAGCGTGCTATTTTTTCCCAAGGTGTTGTTGGGCTGATAGCTATAGAGATCCCTTTGGATGTTTTTGCTGAGAAAAAATAGGTCTGGAGTTCGTCAAAGGTGTCGTTGACTCTGTTCATCTGCAAGGGGCTGCTAATCTTGTGTAGTTATACTATCAGAGGGGTATCAAGGCTAAGCAGCAACTGCACAATCATCTCAACAAGCAAGAAGAGGATAACTTGGTCCAAGAAACCCTCATTAGTGAGCTTGAAACTCTCAAGAAACAAAAGGCCGATGATGACAACTGCATCATGGATCTTAGAGAGAGGCTTACCAAGGTTAAGGTCGACCTCACAAAGGCCATTGAGATATTAAAAAACCTTCGAGTAGAGAAGAAAATGTTTTCTTGGACCAGTGCCAAATTTGAGGAGAGCTTTAACAAAGCCTAACTTGAGATTCATGGTTTAACTAGTCAATGAAAGATCTCAAATAAATAAGTTGATACTTTAAACTTTAAGTTTGAAGCTAGACAAAAAGATATAGATGAAGCGAAGAAAGAGACAGATAAGGTGAACATTGAGGTAAAAACTTCTAGGATATGGTCCGCAAGATCAGTTTTGTAGCTTGCGAAAACATTTTAGCGCAAGTGAGGTTTTTGAACCCCTCAGATAATTAGGAATTCGTTGATCGGCTACACACCGTCCAAGAGGGAAAGATCTTTAATGTTAATGCGGATAAGTCTCCCACCCTACTCTTTGACACTTCATGCTCTCCTACTAAGGAACCTTCCTTCACAACCGATGATGTTCCAGATTTTCCTACAAAAATCGAAAAGCTAGAATAATGGTTTCTTTTGTATTTGTTTTTCATAGTTTAAGTATTTATGGGCTAGTTGGTCAACCCACGATTGATGTAACTCACAAAATTTTTATATACATTAACAACACATTCGATCGGATTATTTATCGACCGTTATTTTAACTTGCTTGTTTGTCTTACAAAAGTCTTTTTTTTTCTTTTCCCATTGTATTGCTTTTACTCACTTTATGCTGCTTTCAAATGATGCCTTTCCTCGAGGGGCTCTTGCTCGGACTTCTTTCCAAGCTTTAAGATATGAAGAAACCTTTTTCGCAGGATGTTCGCTCAGACTCATACTAGGGTTTGGGGATATAAGGGTATTTTGCCCATGGATAATTTGCCCAGATTCGTACTTGGGTTTGGGGATATGGGGACATTTTGCCTATGGAGAATTTTCCCATATTCATTTTGGGATTTGGAGATATAGAGATATTCCCCGTGGAGAATTTGCTCAGATTTGTTCCAGGGCTTGGAGATTTTGACGATATTCCTCGCTTGGACAATTATCGCAGATTCATTCTGGACTTGGAGATTTTGGCGATACTCCTCGCTTGGAGAATTTGCCCAAATTCGTTATAGGGCTTAGAGATTTTGATGATTATTTGGCGAAGAGATTGTTCTTTTTCACCAAGCTCTTGAATAGTTCTCTGGTTGCTGGGTCCATGATAAGAATATACTCTCACGAAGGTGTATGTAAGGAAGGTAGTAGGGATTATATTCTACTAACTTTTGGAGGGAGAAAAGAACACTCTAGGAGGTTAGGTTGGGTGTGAGATGAGAATGTAAAGTGTGTGAGGGTATCTTGGATATCTTTTGGAATTGGGATCCTTTTGGATTTTGGGTGAAAACTCTAGAGCCTCTCGAATTGCTCTAGAAAACAGTATTTTCCTTCTTGTATGTTTACCTTTTATTGCATTTGTCAGTCCTCACAATACTCTATATTGCCCATTATAATTTATATTGTTAAGTCTAGAAATTCAGCAAGAGGAATACAAATTATGGTGAAAACTGTAATAAAAGGTTAAAATACTGGTTTCTAGAGCAATTCGAGAGGCTCCAGAGTTCTCTACCAAATTCCAAAGGGATCCCAATTCCCAAATATTCCCAGATACCCTCACACACTTTACATTCACATCTTATACTCAGTCTAACCTTCTAGAATATTCTATTTTCCCTTCAAAAGTTAGTTATGCCACCTCACTGGTAGAACATAATCCCCTATTACCCTTCTCACATACATCTTCATGAGAGTATATTTCTATCATCCTACTGGTGGTGGTGTGGGTAGAGCCCGAATAGAGGAAACTGAGTGTTTATCTAGTGTCTCCACGTGCCCTTCTGAACTGGATCTTGAATCGATTGAACGGTGCTGCGAGTATTCACCACTATTTTTTATTTGAAGTTTCAAAACTCAAGAAATAATTAGCTAGAACAAAGATTAGAGAATGAGAATCAGAATTTACCGTGTGGTCGTGGGTTCGATTCCCATAAATTGCGGCACTGAACTAAATCAGAGTGTGAAGAATAAATATGTTTCCCAAGTGGGTAAAATATGTTGATATAGAGAAGATAAAGGACGCAGTGGCATATAGACCAAAGCTCTAAGGTATATTTCATTAGCCTTAGGTATGCTGAGGGTGTACAATGGGGATGGTGAGTAAGGGATATAGATTATGGTTATGGAACAAGTTCAGCGAAGCAATAGCAATGAAGAGTAGAATGGGAAAGATGAACAATAGAGGAGCTAGGACCCCTTTAAATAGGAAGTTAGAAATTCCCTCTTAATGCACAAGGCATGAAGCCATAATTGTTTCCAACCTTATGGACCCCACTAGGTGAGAGGCAACATGAACCATGATGTATAAAAGGTCATGCGTGCAAGGGAAATATAAGGGAACACTATGAAGGAGTCACATACTCCAAGTGCTGAATGATTGTGGGCCCTCCAGCCAGATCCTAGGTTCATCTTGCCAGACCAGAACATATAGGAGAATGAATTCTCTTAATGTGAATAATCTTATCCATTCATTGATAAATTAAAATCACCATTTTGCCTTTTCCATTTCACACATTTTTCATTAAAATTGTGACCATATATCTATTAATGGATTTTTCACGTGATATGATAAGGTAAAATGAAATATGGGAAGATCCGATTTCGGTTATTTATCACATACTTCCAACCATTCTTGAGCTCCTGCTGGCTCCCACCCTGAGAAACCGCCTTTCTTACCCTACAATAATCGAATTGGAGATTTGAGATTCAAAGTGAATCACGTACAAAAAATAGAAATAAAAAATTAGTGTGCTCTAAGCAAACAAGTTAATTGCTTCCCATGTTACTACGATGGAAACCAAAATTATGCAAATAGAAGGGCCATTTGTTGTAAAAAAGAAAAAATGGTCATTGGTTAATTAATTAAAAGCATATAGATGTAATTTTAATAAAACTTGCCTGAAGCGACAAAAGGAGATTAACCGAATCAAATAACTTTTCATCATCCATCTTCTCACCAACTATCTCTTGTGGCAACATCGATAAGAGTAGACAGCACTGAAACACAACATGATTTGTCTAGTCTTAACTAATAAGTGAAACCAAGTTCAAGAATTAATTTACTTCATTACCTTCAAACATTCTGCAGTGCAATCAGAAACCTGCCATCCATTATCTTGATCAGAGAAGGTCCATGATCCTTTAGAAATGTGACGAAACATTCTTTTAAAGTCTCCTGAAGGGTTTTCCTTAACCTATGGAATGTGAACTTTAACTCATTATTGCTAACTAGAGTTAGCACACAAGTTCAACTATTAATGAAAACGGAGAAATCAATCACTTACAAATATGTTATGGAAAATGAATTGGGGCTTACTTATGTTGTTTACAAGATCAATCGTGTTTTTCTCCCCTTTTTCATGGTCTAGGGATATCGATTAGTATTAAGAAAATAGTGCTTAATTAAAAAATATTGTGAATTTGTAGGTAGTTAGTTCTACATGAATATTTTTCTTAGTTCGAGTTGGAATGTATATTAAACAAACCTGAGATTTCTTGAGAAAGTCATGTCCTTTCAAAAGTGTAGGACCAATTTCGTCGCTAAGGTTTGTGGCAAGCAGAGCTTGAACAACTAATCCAGCATCCCATGATTGGCTACCAATACCCTATGCCAAATAAATACGATAAAGTGCATTTTTTAATATCCCATTGATTACACATTTTGAAAAAGCTATACAAAGAGAGAGAGAGAGAGAGAGAGAGAGAGAGAGAGAGAGAGAGAGAGAGTTATACCTGCATGGTCATTCCATCTTCTGAAAGCCATAAGTAATCAGGGATCCTTGCAAGATGCTTCTTGAAAGCATCTCCATTTGGATCTTCCACCCAACAAGCAAGCATCAACAAAACCTGGCCAGTAAATAAATTTATAGATTGTTAATATTTATTTTATAATGTTTAGAATTATATGTGTCTTTAATTTTTTTTTTATTATACCCACCTTTTCCACACATCCATTGTCCATGTATCGACTATTCTCATCTTCGTAATGGATATGCTTCATTGTTATCTGAAGGGCCTTCTCTCTTACCAGATTGTCGAAAGGCCAATGTGTAAGAAGTGGTTCAGAGAACATGTATAGACTATCCCATAATAGATCTTGTATGAAGTGATGAGGATACTGAAGATCTTCCTGTGATACGTACACATGACATGAATTAACAACTCCTCCACGATCGTATAGTTTGGTGATCTACTGATGATAATATATAGATTGATCTACTCTCTCACCTTTGCACAGGCATGACGTGCTTTTTTCCAATTAATTTTATGGTAAGGTTGAATAAAGATTTCTTCTCTCAACTGAAGAACCAGGGGTGTGACTGGACCCACAAATCTCTTCCCATATAAGTAAGACATAGGCAAGTAAACTAGCCGGCAATAACACCACATTTTATCTGCTTTAATTCAAATCACAATCGCATAAAAAAATTTAGTTATATATGCTATATGCATACTGTTTACTTAAAACTCGTGTTCACCAATTATTTATGCATAGTTTAGCGTTTAGCGGTCCAAATTAAAAATGGTGTGCAACAAGATTTGGACAACTATAATTTATTAAATAAACACTCAATTTAGTAAGTTGTATATTAATTTCATGTATTAATTATTATGTTATTGCATACATAATAACCGGACATGATTAGTTATATCATAATCCACCTGGATGCATAGGAAGAAAAGAAGGAAGCATCCAAAACTCTGGAGGCATTGGGTTGGCTCCCGACCAGTCGAATAAACCTAGTATCTGCAGTTGCAAGATTGACTCATATAAGTGACGTACAACAACATACATGCATGAAAAATAAAAAGAAAAAAACATGTTTCTCAAAAAGAAAAAATTTGCATAAATAATTACGATATCTTTCAGTTTTTATATATGTGTGTGTGAGAGAGATAGATGATCAACTTACACTGGTGTAAGAATAAAAAGTCTTATACCACGTCTTAACCGTTAATTTCCGTACATCCAACAGTTAAGATTTATTGAGTCATTAATTATTATGAGACCCATGTATGTATACCTCAAGGGGTGAAGTATGTCACTTTAGGAGTACTCCTAGGAGCAATGGTATGAACCAAGGCCCTAAGTTTCCTAGGTGATAGAAAGAGGGGGGATGGTGAACAACGGCTACGGTGACTCTCTATATTATCATAATAACAGCTCATAACATTAGTAAATAGTGTAAAAAGGGGTATTTATAGGTAGAGCTGAGCTCCTCAAATGTGGGAGAAAAAGCCAAGTCATTCTACAGTCATTGTCAGCATATAATGACTACTACACCAGGGAAAAGTGAGACAGACATTCCAACATAAGATGCTAATATGTCTTAAGTTGGACTTGAAAGAAAAGGGTATTTGAAATATTATTGAATTGTAAATAATATGTACAAAGGGTTATCTATTTATAGAGAATACTTGACCTAATTTTGACCTAATGGGCTTGGCCCAATACAACAAATAAATGACTAAATAATAACTGAATAATTATTATTTACAACACTCACCCTCAAGCTGAGGAATAGATATTTATCATTCTCAGCTTGCTAGTAAGTTCTTGAAATCTGTCTAAAGGAAGCCCCTTTGTTAATAGATCAGCTAATTGACGCCCAGTGGGAATGTATGGAGTGGTAATCAACCCGCTATCAAGTTTCTCTTTGATGAAATGGCGGTCGACCTCAATATGTTTAGTCCGATCATGTTGAACTGGATTATGAGCTATACAAATAGCGGATTTATTATCACATAGCAGCTTCATAGGTCCCTCACATTTTATTTTGAGATCATCAAGTACAATTTTCAGCCACAGTAACTCACAAATGCCTTGAGCCATAGCTCGAAATTCAGCTTCTGCACTTGATCTGGCAACCACATCTTGTTTCTTACTTCTCCATGTCACCAAGTTACCGCAAAGAAACATGCAATAACCAGTGGTAGAACGACGGTCAGTCACGGATCCAGCATAATCAGCATCTGTGTAGACTTCTAAAGATAGATTGCCATCACGTCGGAATAACAATCCTTTACCAGGAGTACCTTTAAGATACTGAAGAATTCTCTCTACTGCCTGCATGTGTTTTTCCTTTGGATCGTGCATAAACTGACTGACAACACTAACAGCATAAGCTAGGTCTGGTCTAGTATGGGCCAGATATATCAATTTCCCAACTAGCCATTAATATTGTCCTTTATCAACTGGAGGACTCTCTTCTTCATAGCCCATCTTGTGATTCTGCTCAATAGGAGTATTAGAGGGTTTACACCCGAGCTTTCCTGCTTCTTTGAGAAGATCCAAAACATATTTTCTCTGGCTGATAAAAATTCCTTTGCTTGAATGAGCTATTTCTATCCCTAAGAAATATCTCAATTTCCCAAGGTCTTTGATTTCAAACTCAGAGGCAAGCCGTGTTTGCAGAATCTGTCTCTCCACAAAATCATCACCTGTGATAATAATATCATCAACATATACAAGGAGCACAGTAAGCTTCCCATTTTGGGAGTGCTTGAAGAAAAGAGTGTGATCTCCTTGACTCTGTCTGTATCCTAAGGTCATCATAACCTTAGTAAACCTTTCAAACCAAGCACGAGGTGACTGCTTCAATCCATACAAGGCCTTTTTTAATCTACAAACTTTATTTTCCCCCTTCACAGAATCAAAACCAGGCGGGATTTCCATGTAGACTTCTTCTTCTAACTCACCATTGAGGAAAGCATTTTTCACATCAAATTGATTTATATCCCAATTGTAATGGGCAGCAAGGGATAACAAGATTCTCACTGTATTCATCTTTGCAACTGGAGCAAAGGTTTCTTCATAATCAATGCCATAGGTTTGAGTGTAACCTTTGGCCACTAATCGAGCCTTGTATCTCTCAAGAGTGCCATCAGAATTATATTTCAGAGCATAAACCCATCTGCACCCTACTGCTTTCTTTCCGTTGAGTCTATCAATAACCTCCCATGTTTTATTTTTCTCCAAAGCATTCATCTCCTCTTGCATGGCTTGAGCCCAATCCCTATCTTTCAAGGCTTCATGTACTGATTTTGGGATTGCAATAGAGTCTAGTGCTGAAACAAAGCTTTTGTGCTGCATAGAAAGATTAGCAGAGGAAACAAAATGGGAGATAGGGTATTGAGTACAAGAGGGACAAGATTTCTTGGGACAAGCTCTTTTTCCTTTTCTAAGAGCAATGGGTAAATCATCAGAATCAGTAGTAATGGGTAAGTCATCAGAATCAGTAGTAATGGGTAAGTCATCAAAAATATTAACATCATGATCAGAAATATGAGATTCAGGACTTACCAGTGGTTCAGACGATTGAGGTTGCTGCTGAGACAATGTGGGTTGTTTCCTTCTTTCAGGTGTCATAATCTTCCGTATCTCTGGTGTACTTGATGTATCAATCACAGGAGAATCAGTCACAGGAGGAGGATTACTCACAAGAGGATCAGACACAGGAGGAACATGACCAAGAGGAGGATACACTGACATAGGTAAATGAGTAGACACTAAAGATTCAAACTCAAAGAAGGAAGGTGATGAGATTTCTGGTGAAGGATTCTCCCCTGAAGATGAGGACCTTGGAAAAATGACTCAGATTCTTGAAATGTAACATCCATAGAAACAAAAAATTTCCTACTACTAGGGTGATAGTACTTGTAGCCCTTCTTATCAGGAACATAACCAAGAAAAATACATTTAATAGCCCTAGGGTCCAACTTATTGCGATGATGTTTATGAACATGAACAAAAGCAACACACCCAAACACTCGTGGAGGAAGACTCATCATAGTTGGAATAGAAGGGAAAAAAGAAGTCATAGAGTGAATAGGACTTACATGGTCAAGTACCCGAGTGGGTAAACGGTTGATCAAGAATGCTGCAGTAAGAATAGCATCTCTCCAATAGTATTTGGGTATATGTGTCTGAAACATTAATGCACGAGCCACTTCAAGAAGGTGACGATTTTTTCTTTCAGCAACCTCATTCTGTTGGGGGTGTCAACACAAGTAAGTTCATGAATCATACCGTTATTTCTTATAAATTGGGAAAAACTGTGATTAACATATTCAGTACCATTATCTGTTCTTAGTCTCTTGATTTTTTTACCAAACTGGGTCTCAATCATTTTATAAAATTGAAAGAACAGTTATGGTACCTCAGACTTTTCACGCATTAAGTACACCCAAGTTACACGACTGTAATCATCAATAAAAGAAACAAACCATCTATTTCCAGAAGCATGAGGGACTTTAGAGGAACCCCAAACATCAGAATGAATAAGATCAAAAGGTTCAACACTCTTAGTAATACTAGAAGGAAAAGACACACGATGATGCTTAGCAAATTCACAAACATCACAATGAAAAGACTCAACAGACTTAGACAAAAACAATGACGAAAATAAAGATTTGAGTAAACTAAATGGAGGATGACCTAAGCGCTTATGATGAAGCCAAATCAAAGAATCAGCAGTTGATTGACCATGAGACATCAAGATGTGATCTGTTACTTTATTTGCAGGAGATTGTGACACCAGATAGTACAGCTCACCTTGCTCTTTAGCACTACCAATCGTCTTCCCCGTGGCGAGATCCTGAAAAACACAATGGGTAGGATAGAAGGTTACAGTACAATTCAAATCTTTTGTAATTTTATGAATAGAAAGAAGATTCGTGGAGAGTTTAGGAACATGAAGAACATCCTTAAGATGTAAGGACTGCTGTAAGTTTATGTCACCAGAACCCGCAACTGATGTATGAGAGCCATCAGCTACGGCTATTGTATGAGTTCCAATGGTAGGATGATAAGAAGTAAATGAGTCAGCACAACAAGCCATATGATTAGTAGCACCAGAATCAACAACCCAAGAATGTTTAAAATCATTACATGAAGAAAGGAAAGAATAAGTTTTGGAGTTCATACTAGTCATAGTCAAAGCACTAGTATCAGAAAGCTTACTCATAGAATCAAGAATGGTTCGGAGCCGTTCCAACTCATCTGGACGAAATGCAGGTTGGGTCTTATTAGGTGCAGGAGTTATTTCAGAGGAAGTAAAATGCGCTTGACCACGCAACCTTGCCATCTTTTCTAAGACAGTTTGCTTTCCATAGAGGCGAAAGCATAGATCTTTGATATGACCTGTTCTTTTACAATAAGAACACCATCGATCATCTCTTCTAGAAGATGCACCATCAGAAAACTTGGTAAAGGAACTCCTTTGAGAAGAGGCCATACTGCACAAAATTTGTCAAAGAATAACACCAAGTATCCAAAAATTACGGAAAAAATACCAAACAACGTCCGATCTGAGAAAAAATCACAGATCCAGAAAGAGGATGAAGAGACGATCAGAACGCTGTTGACCGGAGCTGGAAAGAAGCAGTCACGCGCCTCCACGCGCCGTGGAGGTGTGTGCGAGTGGGCCTCACTCGCCGGGAGTGAGGCAGCGCGTGCGGCGGCCGAGGTCGTCTGGAGGTGGCGGTCCCTTCTGTGGCTGAGCGGAGTCCAAACGGTCACCAGAAAGTACTGTTCCAGTGATGAACAGTAGTTGGTTTGAGTCGTTCTTAAGAGATCCGGCCGTCAATTGATTTAAAAGGTCCACAGACTGATAGATCAGAGAAAAGAAGTTTGAAAACAGATCCTCTCAGTCCAAAAAAGGTCCCCGGAAAAAATTTCCGGTGGCGGCTGATTGGCGGCGAGAGAAGGAAAGGAGAAGCGGTAATTGCGGAAGCAGAGCCCTCAGGATCGAGAGCTCTGTACCAACTTGAAAGAAAAGGGTATTTGAAATATTATTGAATTGTAAATAATCTGTACAAAGGGTTCTCTATTTATAGAGAATACTTGACCTAATTTTGACCTAATGGGCTTGACCCAATACAACAAATAAATGACTAAATAATAACTAAATAATTATTATTTATAACAGTTGAAGTATCTGTTGGGGCAGCACTAACACGAGCCAACGCTTCTATTATTGGGCCAACTAAGTGGGCTGGCCAAACAGACTCAATATCTATCATCCTCTCTCTAGCTTGGTGCAGCATATCCAGCGTCTCTAGCTAATGCAGGGCCTAAAAAGTGCAAATCTCTCATGTTTATAGTGAAGGCAACTGCATGGTGGATTGGCTGGCTTCGAATGCACACACTTAGAACTGGGATGTCTGATTCTTTACTCCTCCCCCAATGGAATGCTTCCAACTCCCGGTGGATGACATGGTAGGGATGGGTATCCCTCCACTATTCTTGCCTAATTAGTAGGCTTGTGTTTTTTCTATCTTATTCCAAAGAAAAAACAAGTTGCACAATGTAATCAGAAATAAAAAGTTATCTTTCACGTTTAATTAAGTGCGTATCTTAAAGTTTTTTTTTTTTTAAAAAAAAAAAACTTGGTACTGGTTACGCCATCCGGTTTATACGGTGGAAGCAAACCAAAAGTGATCTTACTCATTTATTTTTAGGTTCAATTTTAACATTTCTTTAACCATCTACGTTGATTCTGTCGTTATATATACATTGATAGTTACGTTCATCTAAAAATATTGTTATAATGTACCCAAAGAAAAAATAAATATTATTGTTATAAGCCCTCATCAGGCTTGTAGCATTTACTGACCATGGAATGAGATAATTTTTCCCCTCCTAAAGTTTTATTAACCGGAAAATACTATTATATTATGGGGAAAATATTTCTGTTCTCCCACATTTTTTTTCTTCTCTCTATAATGAGACCCACTTACATAAAAATATAAAAAAGAATTTGCATTAACATTAAACCCCTTATATTATCCCTGACCTTCTTATGTCTGTCATTTGAAATGAAGATACTATCAAAAACTATCCACGCAAAAAAAAAAAAACTATATGAGTAGACCATTATATTGAATATATTAGAAAAACATACCGAAAGCCAAGTTTTCCCCCACGACGGTATATATGTTACGCCATCATGATCTTGAATCCACTTGCGAGCTCTAGCACACGCATCATCTTGACCTCCATCAGGCCCTTCTCCAAGAATGCGCATACATATGTAGTTGAGTGCAGTACAAAACATGGTGCTATGTCCTTCTATGTCTAGTCCCCACCCCCCATCTTCGTTCTTCAATTAATAATTGAATATACAACAATGCTAATTATTCACTAATTTTACATCATGGTTAATTGGGTATGTACGCATATAGTCTGAAATTGAACAAGTGTACCTGGTGGCAATAAATATGACGAAGCATCTCTCTGCGGTACTCTTCTGGGAATACTGAATCAAGATGGCCTGTAATGTACATGCAAAATACCTGCAATATTTTATGGCAAGTGCAAAATTTACGTTCATTAGTGCATCTGAACTTGAATTTCCTCAAAATTCCAGTGCATATCAAATTATTAATAACGTCTACGTAAAATATGTATTTTTATTCTTTATAACTATGTACTCCTCATTACCCTGAGGAGTACATAGTTATAATATTAAAGTTGTATTTTTTTTTTTACTTTTTATGTCACTCGAAAATTTCTGAAGAGAAAAAAAAGTATAACTTATGATACTGTTAGAGTAAAGTAATTTTACTTATACCGTTAGAGGATCATAATTAATAATTACCCATGAAATAAAGTATTTATGATACTGACCAAAGGAGGAAGATAAAAGAGTGGACCAGCTTCTAGAGCAGGCCAATGGCCATCAGTAGCTTGCAGTGCTGATAGGTAATGGGTGGCCCTTCTTAACGCGGCTGTTGTATTTTGGTACGTGATCTCTCCGTCTTTTATCTTCGGACTACCTATTATTTGTTGGAAGTTTTTCTCTCTCAGAAACTGCATCCACCAAAACTAAATTATCATTTTAACCGCTAAAGATATTGCAAAATAAAATGAATACTTCTTTTTTTTTTTTAATAATCTGGAGAGTATCCCTATTCAACCTCCTCCAATCACTTTGTCCTCGGAGTACGGTATGAAGGCTACCCTTCATTGAAACAGTGGGTGCATTGAGCTTCGCTACTGAAAGAAGGATGTGACTAATCTTCCATTCGAGAAGAGAGGCACGTCCTCTGACTCAAAAAAATTTCCTAAAATTTTACTTAAAACAGAATTTGAACCCCGACCCCAATCAGATACTTATATCTAAGGCCAATAGGCGATAGTAATACAATATAAGGTCTTATTAACATGACAAATACAACAATATGATAGTATTATATATCGTATATTGTAGAGATACTTTTAAAGTTAGATAAATTTAAAACATGAAGTTCAAAAATGTTTAAAATCATAAGGTTGATATACATAGTTAATCGAGATAAAATTTTAAAAATGCAGATGAAAATATTTAATTTTATAAAGAACAAAAATGTATAATTATTTTAAAAAATATCAATTTGATTTACATATAAAATTTAAGAAATTAAGAATGACATATATTGTCTTAAAAATTGAATTATAAAATTTTATCTATAAAAATTGAGTATTTTATTAAATAGGAAAGTAAAGAATAAACAGATAAAAAAAGAATTGATAAAGAGCTAATTAGGTAAAATAAACAAATTTAATACATTTTTTAATTAATCTTATTTATAACTAACTAATAAGAAAAATAAAAAATTGAGAGTAAAGTAAAAGAAAAGTATATATATTTTGGATAAAAATCGTAGAATTGGTAAAGAAAGTATATAAAATTATTTTCAGACTCTGATGTGAAAATATTCTAATTTTTTAATTAAACATAAAAAAAAGAATTATTACGCATAGACGAAATGATAATACGTTGCTTGTACTAAAAAAAAACACAAAGAGGACGTGAATGTTACTAAAAAGGAAAAAGAAAAAGAAAAACACCTGAAAGCGCCACAGAAGATCAGCACAGGCCTTGACACGGAAGCGATTGTTATAGAAATTGAGACGGGCAGCTTCAACCTGGGCTCGCTCCTCGGGGCTTCCTGCCTCAGGATCGAACTCCCATGTTTGCCTTCCCACGAAATTGTTTGTGGAGAAGAGATATGGGTCATTTCCACCGTCTGCTATCTTCAACCTCCACATTTCCTTTTTCTTTTTCTTGTTCTTGTTGGTGTTTCTTTTAGCCAAAGATGATTGATTGCCCTATCTATATGTATGTACATGTAGAGTTTAAATAAGCAGATAGATTTCAGTCCTTAATCTTCAATTTATTGTGGTAATGGATACACATTTGTCGCTTTTTTTTCTTTTTCTTTTTTTTTTTTGTAAATCACATTTGTCGCTTTTGATTTGGATAGTGGTGCTTCATAAAAAATATTAAATCGTGTTTTTAAAATTCTAAACTGATTAATAAAAATTATAGATTCATAAAAATTAATAACGAAGATATGTAATTTTTATGAATTTATAATTTTTATATTATTTAAGTTTTAAATTTTAAATTATAAAAGTTTTATTATTTAGTTTGTCACATTTAAATAAAACACGATATTTTATAATATTTTTTAGTGAATGGAAGTGGACCCAATCTTTTAATAAGGATTTTGACGTACCCATCAACTCCAACCATTACCCAACTTATCATTAATATACAATTAAGTGTGTTGATTTTAAATTATGGTTGTGACTGTGTTTTAAGTACAAAAATAAAAAATTACAGGTAAATCATAAATGTAGCTGATACTGCCACAATTATGATCGTGATATAAATACAAGAATTAGTAAAATATTAAGTAGCTCCAAGTTACTTCGTAAATCTCCCCAAAGAAGATGGAAGGTGGAAGGTGGAGGGGAACTTTCTTGGCTTCGAAAGGAAGGACAGAGTTGTGGCCCAGAAAAAGAAAAGACGTATGCGATTCAAGATAGCTCTTTTGGAGGATACCACCTCTCGATCGGTATCTCTCTGCAAAATCACTCCCTTCACTCATCCTAGTTCTTTTTCTCTTTCAACCTATTAATTTGATAGATACTGGTTCCTGATCGATCATATTCAAAGATGGAGACATAAAGTTAAAGAAAGAACGAAGGAAAGGAATTCTTTATTTCGCGAATATTTTATGTCCAAACATTTGTTATATATTTGCGATGGTTTCCCAAGGTGACGTTTGGTTGAGGAAATTTTTTTTGAATACTAGGGAAATGTAATTGATAGGGAAATGGTTGGAAAGTGAGTTAGGTAGGAAAGTTAAAAAAAAAATGTTTGGTTGGGCTAAATATTACCAGGCAAATTGATAAAGGTTTTTAAAATGTACGTTTAGTTGATGAAAAAATATTGATGGGTAAAAGGGATATAATTACCAATATAACCCCGAATTAGTTACTTTATTAAAAACAAGTAGGTGTGTTTGCCATTTGTCTTCCAACGGTAATTTCCCACTTTTGAAAAAAAAATTTCGTCGGTTGACCATTTCCTCTCTTGCTACCTCCAAAGTCGGTGACCAGGCCTATTGCATCGTCCGCTCGAGCTCCTAAACATAGGGTTTTTGTATATTTGATGAAATTACAATCACCACGCTTGTTTTGTATTACATTTGATATAGTGTGATGAAGGGTACAATGATATGGTACTGCTTGAAAGTTTAAATTTTTCGTACTGCAGGTTGCATAAACATATGGCAGTGTTGTCTTGATTATAGTAATCCATCCGTAGAATGCTGATTGTAATTTATCTTGCAGATACTATTTCCAAGTTACAGAAAACAGGATCAAAAGCACCATAAAAGTGGGTTCTAAAAGGGGAGAGGTTGAAGATTTGAGTGAACAGCAATGTCACTTCCGATCAAGCCTCACCGTCTGGAGATTTGCACTTCAACCCACACAACGAAGTTTTAGCTTCTAATCTGAATCACTTCACACGGGCTTTGCTGACCACACAAGGTCGATAAAAATATCTTTTCACAGGGTATTTTCGTCTCCTTTATTTTTACACATTGCAACTTACCCAGCTTTCGTCAAAAAATCACCCCGCAACTTGGCTTTGCAAACAGTGACAATGCCTGGTTATCGATGACCAAATCTAGGAATGGTATGCATATGTGATTGATGGGGAACTTGGTTGAATCCCTCTACCAAACAAGTGCTTTCTAGAAAACCATCTTCATTTGCATGGGGAAATTTTTGGTTTCCCTGAACCAAACACCACCTTAAGGTTTTAGATTGAAGTGTAGCTTTCAGTGACTACAAAGTCATGAGTTTGATTCTCCTCGTCCCCCCATTTTTAGGTGAAATTAAAAAAAAAACACAAGCCGGACAAAAAAATGTACTTGTGTAGCACAAAGCAGACCGAAAATGGACTTGTACTATATTCACGCTTCAAATCCAAAGAGCTTTTGCGGTGTTAAAGAATAAAATAAAAGCATTAAAAAAATAATCATCTAATACCTTAAGATTTTAGGAATTGAAGTGGTGCTTATCAAGATGACCCATCAATAATTTTATATTATATCTCTAACGTAATATTATAGTTGTATGTGTAATCTATGTGTAATCTATGCCGTAATATTATATATCTCTTGCGGGGTGCTTTCACACGTACCTACCATATCATGATTCTAACGTCAATAGATTTCAGTCCTTTTTATTTTAGTAGATACGTGTGTAAGCACCCCGTTTTTCATGAGTCCACTATCGCTGCAAGATTCTTACCCTGTTTCACGAAACACGACAAATATTTCTTTGAAAATAAATTCAAAACAAAGAAACAGGTGCATACATGATACATTGACCAACTTCACATGTATTAAAACATATAAAACACAAATACAGAACATTTATTGATCAGTTTCTCTATCTACTCATTTCCGGTATCCAATCCAAGAAGAAAGCACAACTCATGCGTGACTTTATATATTTTTTAGAGATTTGTACATATACGATATAACCCCACATTTTTTATAACAACATCAAAACAAGTTTCATTGATAGTGTGCTAGCACAAGAATGGTTTCTGGCGAGAGAAGAATTATTTTAAGGATGTATTCAATTAAATAATTTAAAAAAGTCAAATATTAATATATTATTCATTTAAGACAACTAAGATTTTAAATAAGAAATAATTTTTTTTGGGTATTCAAAAACTTGCTAATTTTAA